ATATAATGACAACAAAAAGCACATTTACTCATGTAAGTAAGCTGCAGTCCAATAAAAGATGCACCTATTTTTGGGAGATATCAGCCTCTGAAGATTGTGTTCGTGGCCCATTTCCTTGAGGAAGAGTCTTTTTTTTTTTCCAGCAAGATTTGTTTTTTTAGGCAAACAAAGCTCAGTCACCTTTAGATGTGCTGACGTGGCTTCATCAAGTGTGGAGGCTGATAAATTAGAAGACGGATAAATCAAATTAAACCTGTCTGCACAAGAAGTGAGAAAATGTGTTTTTTGGGTAATCTGGAAGGCTACACCCTTTAACCAAACTATTTCCTGTCTGGGTTTTTGAAGCGAAATATATTGTTGCTGCTGCTTGAAAACATGTCTGTCTTCTCAAAGCACAGGTGTAGATATTGAAGGATGTCAGGCAGACACCAGATTCTGATTACCAGATGTCTCAGCATGGTTAATTTACCAATATTCAATCAAAAACGTAATGAGATATATGCTCTGTATGCATCAGCACACCACGAATGAAATGCAGCGCTCATTACAACTACTTTTCAATTGGAATGGATCTGTTACATTACACCATATCACCTTAGCTCGTGTGCATATATTAAACCGCATCCAATTGGCTGAGCACTGAGGTGGAATATTATGCAAATGCCTAATAACAAGTGTACATGATTGAATTCACTCTGTCAACAGCCAGAGCCCCGCACGCATACAGCCCCGGATATTCCGTGTATCTGTATGGACACGCACACTGATGCGCACAATCATGCTCCATTTGCTAACCATGTCTGTCAGTGTGCAGACATCAAGTATTAAAAATGTCAAATTACTAAAAGCTCACAGCAATGGGGCAGAGCTGCTCTGCTTTTCACACAGACTTGGAAAAAGGCAAATAATTAATTTGTTCCGATCTTCAACCTCAGGGTGTCTCTCAAGAGTTAAATTGTTATTTTTGGTGTGGAAGCATTAGCAGACGGGGGGCAATGCTTGTCTATGAAGCCTGGGGCAATTTTGTCTCATTGGCTTCTCATTGGGATGGAGTAGCCATTAACAGAACAATTACATGCACTTGTAAGCTTGCAGAAAGCAGAAACTAATTAGGGCTATTTTGGAACGTCTTCACTTGATGCGAAAAAAATAGAACATAAATTGTTTTCCAGGTTACAAAGCATTTAAACACACCCTTGAGAAAAGCCTTGTGCACTGGAAAAGTTGTGCGTGAGAGAAAAAGCTCTGAATTATTATGCATCTGACCTTGACAGTGTTGGTATTCAGTCCCTCTTTATATTTAATATTTAAAATTCAAGTTTTCTAGAGTGCTAATGCTTTAATGTCCTGCAAGACATGCAAAAGGAAATTTTCACAATTGAGCAAGTGTGAATCTTCAAAGGGTTCAGATTACCGGTAATTGGTGTCAAGGAAAAGCTTATGGGTGTTTGTTAATGAAGTCGATTTGAGAGCTTGCAAAGACAGGATCCATTTATTTAATCACGCACTCCTAAGAGAAATTGTCACTTCCATTGTAATTTGTTTTCAAACTCGCCTTTATCACCTGCAGGGGGAAAAAAGGGAAACTCTTAAAACACACCTATCAACAGCAAGCCCTCCTTACTTTGTTTCCCCTCCTGCAAAAACCAGCACCAATTAGTAAGACGTGGCACAGGCAGCGCTATGTAAAATGTGCCTGTTTACATAACCTGCCGTGCTATCTATTTTTAACAATATGGATGCAATCATGAAGTGCTTCTCTTCCTACGGCACTGTGGAGGAACGCGAGGCTTGTTCTCCATCCGTATCGCAGATGCCGCAGAGCACCAGGCTTCAAAACCCAGCAGAGTGACGGTCTGTCACTCACCCCGTCAAGTCTGCGTCTCTCACTCTGCCTCTCTCCTCGTCTTCTTCTTTTAATTCTTCTCACATACATTTGCTCCCTCTCGATCTTTTTCTTTTTTCTTTTGGTCCTCTTCTTTTGCTTTTACACTTGCTCCCCTGTGTCTTGGATCCTTGGGTCCCCACAAATTCACCTCCCCCCCTGCAACCAAGGTTGAATTTCATTCCTTCATCTTTCTCTTCAGTTATTTTTTTTTCCTGGCTATCAACATCCGTCTCTCGCTCCTTCTCTCCTTTGCCTCGACACATGCAGCCATCTGTCTTTTTACCTTTTGGCAGACTTGGGGTACTGCTATATTAAGCCGCCGCTGAGCCAAGTCCATGTTGAGTTGACACAAAAATATAATGTGACAACGTTGGAGAGGAACACTGATGGAGAGCTGTGTAATTAGTGTAAAACTCTGTTAACATGGGGTGACCCCCCCTCCCAATAAAGACTTTTTTTGAACTACATATTTATTTAGTTGCACACACTGTTTCGTTTTTAAATGTTTGTGAAGTGGTGCAAATTCAGTAGGTAAAGTTGGCGAGCACTTCCTGTGCGCCACCTAGCTGCTCGCCAGGCTGTTGGTATGATTCACCGGGTATTAATTTCACTGTGACCGGTGGCACCATATGTCCCACATACCCACTGATTGAGTTATTCAGCCTGCTCATGAAACATGTTGTGACAGGCCATTCATAGGTTCTGCGTTTGTTTACCTCAGCTCTGTGTTTTACCTCCTGCTGTGGCACTTGACTCATAGCCTTCAACCAGGAGGAACATCGCTATAAGCCTGTAAGCACAGACACTGAGGAGGGTGTCGTGGTCCAGAGGGAGCAGATGACTCACAGCCACCGGGAAGCCACGGGGGTGACGGGAGACAAAGTGCACACCGAGATGAGAGCAGAGTTTTACCACTCATTACAAAAGCTGCACGCCGCCAGGGAACACATCAGTTAGATCAAAAATCGTGGAATCATACTGATGCTGCAAAGCTGATTGAAAGAAATGCCCGAGATTAAAAGAAGTGGTATTAATGGGCTCACTGCAGCATCACTTCTGATTGCCTCACCCACTGGGATTGCAATGATGATTTATGACTTTTTAATGCGGTCATAAGTTGAAGCAGTCATAAGAATAAATGGCTAAATACTAAGAATTTTTAATTGGAAGCTCTATTAAAAGCATTATTTCCAAAAAGATTAGTGCACCACAGAATCCTTCAGCTGGGCAAACGATGCTAAATCACCCCTCACAATGAATGCAGTGATACATTATGAAGGGATGGTTCGCTTTTACAAGCACACCTGCTCAGTTCAGCTCCACATAAAAGAGGTGAAAAAGTTTCACTAACTTCATGACCTAAATAATTGAGTCTTTCTCCAAACACAAATAGCTAGAAACTGTGTACATACAGCTCCGTTGTGAAGAGAGCTAAATCTTGTTTGATTATTATTTCAACATATCAGTCCACTGTTGTAATGAGATTCCGTCAAATTAAAGTTGTAATGACAGGAGGCAAATTGCTCATCTTTCCTTGTCATGTGTAGTGTAGTTACCGTGGTCTCTTTTGAGGCTTAAGAAAATGAATTTAGATTCCACTCATTTGTGCTTTTGTCTCGTGTGCATTTGTGCAGAGATTTAACTGAAACTTAGCGAGTCTCTGATCAGATTTTCTCTGTGTAATATCTTACAATATTTCCCTCTAATTCCATAAACACAGTCAGAAAGGTCCTTTTTGACTCTCCTAACACATACTTATTGCCTTTAATAACGTTATGTAGGCGGGTTTCTTCCTGCTCTTCACCATACTAAAAAGTAAAAGTCCTTTAGTGTCAAAACCGATATCCTCTAAGACTGGCAGAGAACTCGGGTTCTCTTCGTGACTCCCTGGCAGACTAAGATGATATCCTAAAACTGCACATGCTTGTTAACTTTCCTAGCAATCAAGAGACGTTACTGTCTATACAAATCACACTATGTTATATACCATTGTCACAATGCCAGATTGCTTCACTGATCCCTGGCTGCTTTTATGTTTATTATTCTTTTTTTTTTTCTGAGAGGAATTTTAATTAATATAAAGTTTTGGTTTGAATCATTTAATTTAAAGTAAATATTAAAACTATTTATAATGCAGACCTAATAACTGAACTGGCTGCCCTAATACTCATCCACAAATCGCTCTGTAAACACCTTATAAACTATCATCAAGGCTGATTTAGACATAATTGTTTTCCATTTTAATTCCTCCACTAAGCTTTCATGTGCTGCTGAATTTAACTTGTGGGGAGCACCTGCATTCTTCTCTGTTTTCAGTTCAGCTCAGCTGTCCCCCTCTGCAGACTAATCAGTTTCGCAGAACTGTCATTAAGGGCAGAGAGAAGGGTCTGTCACCACAGATGGCAACAGCCTCTTGCAAATGAGCTCTGATTACAAGAGGTGGCAGGTTTCTCTCTCCTTATCATCCCTGCCTTTCACGCCATTAGGCAATCACGGTGCTTGGGTCACAGCTCCTAAGGACAGTTACATGGTAGATTTACCTTCGCTAATGTCCTTGTGTTCTTGGTGTGCTGTTTCGCAAACTGTCCCCTCGGCTTCATTTTGAAAGAATTTGACAACCTCATTTGAGTCTGTGTTGGCAAAGGTGCCAGACTCGGTGAGCTATTGAATAGACCTGTTATTTTTGGCTCGTTCATCATACCAGGTGCTCTCGCTCCTGATCCTCGCATTGGAAGGCGAAGTCTGTGAAAATGACATCAGGTTCCTGCTGCTGTGCTCCCATCAATATTTAAAGCTCTAACTCATTTCAGAGTTGATTCCTCACTGACTGGGGAGCTCTTGGCCTTGCCTGTCTGAGGTGAAAGCACAAGTCCTAGAAAGAAAGGCCGTATTCATCTATTAACAGTGGAAGGAAAGGAAGCCAAGAGCTTAGTTCAAACACCCCTCCCATGCTGTTTCCCACATAGTGAAACTCCTGTAAACACAACCTGTCGGTCCCAGCTGTTGCTTGACCTATATTAGCTCTTGAAAAAATGTTTTTATTTTTTTAAACCTTCTGGCTCAGTCAGAAAAACTAACTGGAGTACCTTTTTCTCTTTTCATCTGTTTTAAGGTGTGAGGCGACCTCCAGAGCAAGACAAACCCAGTCCTAGTGTCCATTATACTCTTCTGATTGCTTGTGTTTTGGTGGCCTTTGTCCTTGGTGCCTTCCTCTCTGGCTTCCTGGTTTCATGCTACTGTAATCACACAAGCCACAAGACCAAGAAGTTGTCGAAAGACCCCGAAGCCCCAATCCCGCATGCTCTATCACTGCGCAGCCTAGCCAAGCTCAATGGCCTCCTGGACAGCCAAAGTAAGGACGACAAGCTGGAGGTGTCATCTCCCAAGATCTACAACTCTTTCTTCGCCAACAGTAAGGAGCATCACCCATCGAGGAGAAATGGTCATCATGGAATGACAATGGGAGACTTGGTCCATGCCCAGCATCACCAACTCCACCATTCCTCAGAGCTGTCTGGTCTGCCTACACCAGACTCGACCCCAGAGCTGCCAATTAAGAGCATGAAAGCATTCAAGAACCAGTGGGAGAAGAATCAGAACTGCAACAATGCCAAGGAACCAAAGTCCCATAATATTGGTTCCAGGCCCAGCTCTGCCCTGCTTCACCAGCAGGTCTTCCCCTACTCCCATGGACTGTCTAATAGCCAGTCAGCAGTCGGACACCTTCATCCCGATGAACGCAAAATCCACAATGTTGAGCGTGTGTTGTCTCAGCAGCCTTACGCTGGCTACTCTCAGAAGGTGATGGAAGTAACCTCACTCGATGAGCTTCTGAAGCACATCCACGAGGCTAGCGGCAGCAAGAACTCTCAGCTAATGAGCCCATCTGGTCTGATGGCCAGCGGAGGTGGAGGCCAGCTAGCCTTTGCCAATCGTATCCAGCCTCAGATACCTGAGACAGAATCAGCCCCCTACTACAGCTCATCCACTTTACCACGTGACAGCCTCACCCGTCGCATGGATGTTCCCCCAGACATTCCCATGCACCACCAGTCTACCTTGGAGAGGAGGCATTCCTCCCAAAGGCAATCACTGATTGCTGCAGCCACCAAAATGCCCAACGGAGGTGGAGTAGTAGGAGGAGGGGGAGGAGGAATGATCCCTCGCCAACACAGCTTCAGCCAACGAAATGGCGGGCCCCACCAGCCACCTCCTCTTTTGGCGCGGATGAACTCGACAGGCAGCGCGTGTGAGGTTCACTATCCCCTGCTTCCCAATGGATACCTGGCACGTCAGCACAGTTATAATGGAGAACAGCAAGAGGTTCCACACAGGGGTGCGATCGTCCGTCGGGCAGCTTCTCTCAAACCTGACGTCCCTCCCAAGCCCTTGTTCATACCTGCCACATCCCCAGTCAATGAACAGGGAAAGTTCAACTACTGAGGGGTATGCTCTTGGACTAAGAGAAGGAGCCTCCCCCCCCCTCCCCTCATTGTGTCATCTGTAAGAAACTTTGAAGAAATGCAGTGAGTTTGGGGTTGCAGACCTTTACCTGAAAACACAACCAACTGTGTGGCACCAGTGTCACTGTGGACAAAAGCCTCAACCAAACTTGTTTTTTTCCGCTTCTTTTTGTCCAACGAATATCTTTGTACCATATTGGTATTGCTTAGCTACTTGCTTATTATAGAACCGCTTACTTGGGTGACGTGATGCCACCTCCTTATATTAGGCTGCCAATGTCCTCAATGTGGATTTACAATGCAACTCCGTTTTTGGACACGTTGATGTTGGAAAAACTTGACACATCAGTCATCTTGAAGACTTAAAAGCTCGAGGCTCGCTTAGATTCATGCTTTTGCTTAACCTTTTCTGATGTAGTGTTGGTATCCGGTCCCCACCCACCCCACCCTCGAATGTGTTTATATTATGCATGTGTGTGTATATATATGTGTGTTTATATTTACACCGTATATGTATACATATACATATGCAGTATGTGTAACCTGTGGTTAAAAAAAAAAAAAAAAAAAAATCCCCTGAAAGTAGTTATGTCTTTGCCTTACTATACTCTCTCATCTTTGGGTATATCAAACGATCCCCCCGCCCAAGCCCTAAGAAATATCTTAGGGGCATCAAATGTTCATCAAATGTTGTCATTTGGCTCCAGACACCAATTCAAATTTGGTCACAATGACAAGACAAAGGAAATACTTCAACAAAGCAGCTACACTCGCCTTCTCTTTTACTTTTTTCCCTGTCCCAGCTGATGTCAGGTGACAACATTCGGGTCCGTTTAAGTTCTTCAAGAATGTTTCGACAACATTGGTGCTCCGCAACTCTAGTGGGTCTAATATTCTTTGAAATGGAAGCAACCAACATATTTCTCTGAAATATTTTGGACCCAAAGAGGACAAGACAAACACGTCTTGCCGTCTGGTGTTAGGAGAATGAACACTGAACATCGAACAGACTGCAGTTATCATAATTATTAACTCTGTGGCTATTGGTTGTAAATAAAGGAATAATTACTAGCCAAATTTTAACTGTATGTGTAAATGTGTGCCTTATTTAATAATAGTGTGTGACATGGGCTTAGGGGTCAATGCAAGGGGCTCAGATGGCAACTATGCTACAGTATATTGTAGGTGTTTGATTTTTCTATGGTTGTCAGTATGTGTCATACAGTATCTATTGTATATGTGAAGAGTTTCATTCCAGAATAAGATATTTCTCATCGGTTCTAATTAACTGAATTAATAGTTTGACTGTAACACTCACTAATAAATCACATGTTATGTCATATATTGACTATAATTTTTTTTTACAAAGTAGGCTAATATTTTGTAAATTATCTAATTTTTTTTTAATCGACGTAAAATAACTAGTACCTTTTTTTTCAGCATTGTTTTGGAATGAAACCCTTCGTTTTTCGCTTTTCTTTTGTTTTCATCCCAAAAGTGTGAGCCTACAGGTTTTTAATGCGAGTGTGGGACACAGCAAGTACGAAGCCTGAGACTGCAGACATTCAGGTTTGACTGTATACTGTCACTTTCACCTGGGTGTCGATTTCCTTGTAGGTGCCATTGTTACGTTTTTGTTTTTCGTAGTGTTATCTTCTTGGGTTTCTAAAGGGGCAGTTCACAGTTCCTCTTAAGTTATCACCTACAGATGTGTGGCCATTGTAGAAGTTGCATTTACCTTATGGGAGGAAAAAAGCGTGTCTTGCTTGAGTTTTGAATGTCAGGATATATGTTTTAGCAAGTGTGTGAAACCATACGGTTTCAGTTCTGTATGAAAATAAATCCAGGTTGGTGGCATGTAGCATGACTTCTACAATGGTTACTGCTGTAGATCTTGACCTAGTGGTGCCACCGGGTGTTGAATTTCAAAACATGGACAAGAAACATGGAGCAGTGCAATGAACTCTGATCCGACAGGCTGAGATTGTCTCTTGGATCGATACTTGGGAAGTGATTGTGGAACCGGTTCGCAGGTGACCGTGCTGCCAAACACTGCTGAGGATTTTCACCTCATTAATGGTGATGCCAGCCGGCTGTGCCTCAGACATATCACCCCTTCAAAACTCAACTGTTGTACTTTTCAGGAGAGTCGCTTTGACCACGGTTGGCTGGAACCGTGATCAATTCTGTGAAAACAGCACTATGCTATTTACTGTATCTGAAAACGGTGTTTATTGATTGAAATTTCCCAGAGCTCATTTGACCCAGTGTAAAGTTTACCATTCACACTACTCCAGCTTCAGTAAATTAAGGAAAAGTACCTAACATTTGTAAGGAAAAAAAAGTTGATTTGGTAATTAACAGGCAGCAGAGCATTAAATAGCCTTTCAGACGGCAAATAAAAAACATCCAACTTGATTTAGGGTTGGGGCGGCAGTGTTTCGTAAGAGGAATTGTGGCAGCTACAGTGTTTTAATGGATTTATTTTTCTGTTTTGGTCTGGTTTTTTGTTTTGTTTTGTTTTTTTGGTAATTTGTTTGTTTGTTTTTAATCTGCCGGTAACAGATTGTACGGAAATGGGGACGGTCTCGCCTCTTAAAAGTTCTATCAGTATTTGATTTGGTGTAAATACATTCTATCTGGGCGAGGTCTCATTGATTCAGTATTATGTTTTTCTCCGTTTGATTTCCAGGCTTTGCCTCTTGACTTACTATGAATTTGGTCTCACAGAATATCATTGTATGTCTCTTATACTAGGAATAAAATGGAAAATATGATGAACGTTTCACTAGTCAATGTGTCAAAATAATCCCGGTAACATCGTTGATGGTCATACACAAAGTCTGAAAACAAGAATAGCAGTAGCAGATAAACCAGAAGCTCATCTCTGAGGCAGAAATGTTTAGGTGAGATGGTGATTCAAACTATACTTTGAGACTGTTTATTATAATAGATACACTGCTCAAAAATTAAAGAAACACTTTTCTAATCAGAGTATTGTATCAAGCAGTTTGACCTTGTGACAAGGGAGTAGGTCGAGGAGTTGTTAATCAGTCTCAGCTGCTTTACTGTTAATGAAATTAACAACTTGTGCAAAATAAAAGTGTGGTCTTAGAGGTGGATGCGACTTACATTTTTTCCTGTTTATTTTTTCACTAGTTTTGCATTTGTCAGTGTCAGTGTTGGTAGCATGAGGCGATCCCAGGACCCTACAGAGGTTTGATAGGCAGTCCATTTTCTCCCAGTGCAATCTCAAGAGCATGGAGGAGATTCCCGGAGACTGGCAGTTACTCTAGGAGAGCTGGACAGGGCCATAGAAAGTCTTTAACCTATCAGCAGGACTGCTGTTTGCTTCTTTGTGCAAAGAGAAACAGGATGAGCACTGCCCGAGCTGCAAAATGTCCTCCAACAGGTCACTGGTGTGAATGTCTCTGACCAAACAATTAGAAACAGACTTTATGAGAGTGACCTGACTGTCCAGTGTCTTCTCATCTGTGAAAAGCCCTGGTCCCTGTGCTTTTCACAGATGAGAGCGGGTTCACCCTGAGCACATCCGAGAGATGTGAAAGGGTCTGGAAAAGCTGTGGAGAGTGTAATGCTGCCTTAAACATCATCCAGCATTACCAATTTGGTCTGGGGAGGCATATCTACGAAGAGATTTACAGAGCTCTCTATGATAAGCAACTGTGCCCCGGTTGCTATTAGATAATGGGATGAAATCCTTAGACCCATCATCAGACCCTACGCTGGTGCAGGCGTTCTTGGGTTCCACCGAGTGCATGGCAATGCTGGTCCCTATAGAACTTGGGTGCTTTACAAAGTCCCGTTTTGAGTTGCTGAAATAAAATTTTGGCAAAATAACCAAGCATACGTCATTTTTTTCTCTTGGGTTTTCTGGCAGTGAATTCAGCCCTCTGTAAGTTGATGATTTTAATTTGCATCAAACAGTGTGGCATCCTTTTTCCCCCTAACACATTACCCAGTCCATATCAGTACAAACACCCAGCAAAATTCTTATTCCCATTGAACTCGGAAATGTTGTCAAAGTATTTTTATAATTTTTTAAGCAGTGTGCATCTTGGATCTGTTTTCTCTCTCTCTACTAAGTGCATATTCTGTCCCATGTCTTGGGATGTCTCAGAGATATAGATGTAAAATTTGGATGTCAGTCAAGAAGCAAGTGATTTGTTTTTTGTGTGTGGATGAACGATGTTTTTTGTTTTCTAAAGGAATTTTTTCAGTGGTTCTGGGAAATAAAATGTTTTTCTGTGTCTTTGGGATTTAGAGTACAAGATATACTAAGCATCAATTTAATTTGTGCTTTTAGTACAGAGATATCCAACATGTGATTTCAACTGCCATCTCCAGTAAGAACCAATATACTAATTGTTTCAATACACAGGGGGCAGTGATGAGCCCATTAGAGTCTGGCACAGCAACCCGAGTGAGATGAAACGAACTCCAAAAGTACTTGGAAAAGCAACAAAAGTAGAGTTTTTTTTTTCTTTTTTCTTTATGAAATGTCTTCAAACAAATTAATTCCCCAGTGAAAGCTTTAAATAATAACAACAAAACAGATTTTAGTGAGTTCTTGTGATAAATAACAGCACAAAGCACCACAGGAAACGGCCATAATCCATGTCCAAACAGTGAGCCAAGTCCATCCGTGCTCCCAGGAAGAGGGAAAACAAACATACTTCCCAAAATGTTGAGCGATTACTTTAAGACTGAGCGTGCTTATCAGAAAAAAACCCACATACTTTTGCCAATTTTTTTCTTTTTTTTTTTAGTTATTGAATTTATTTTAAATACTTGTTACTGAAACAGTGATAAGGTTTGTTGTGCAGTTCGTTACATTTCTCACAGCTGCCTGAGAATTTCTGCGCTTGTAGATGCTATTTGACTCTGATTACAGTTCAGCCAACACAGAGTTTAGTTCTCATACTTAAACTGAATCGAGGTTGGAACATGTTATTTTATCTAGCAAGTCAGCCTTTCCGTGGACTGTCTGATTATTGTGACATTACAGCATTTTGGTTGTTGTCATCTTGACAGGAGAATTTTTGTATATAAGAAAAAACAACGACCTGGGCAATAAAAGAGGCGTAAGACAAATATGTATTTATTTTTGCTGAAAAAGCAATTCAATATTCACTGTAATAAATGCAATCCAAATGATGAATAAATAATAATAATAATTATTATTATTTTTACAGCTGCAGGGATATAATCTCAAATTTTAGGCGTGCTAAATCAATATAAATGACATGCACTGTGCCCCCTCCTTCAATTATAGAGTTTAACCTATCAGGACATCACAGGTTCCAAAATGATTTAAAAACAACCTCAGCTGAATAAAGGTGACATACATATGACAACATTTTATCATTAATTTAACAAATAGTGAGCCAACATGCAGAAGCAGTGCATGACAAACTAAGTACACCC